TCCTTTTCCGGATCTCCTCATCCAAATTCCTCTGATAACCAGGTGGAAGGAACTGGATCTCAAATTGATGCCGGAAAGCGTCAAAAGAATACAGGAGCTCCTTGCAGTTCCTATACCACAGAAGTGCTGAACCTTGCAGCAGCTCCGGTAGCGCTCTGAGCAGGTCCTCCGACGATATAGAGTACGAGACCATCAGCTCTTCAAGACGCTCCAGGAATGACACAGGGTCTCTACGTCCATCAAACTTCAAACCCCACTTTCGGACAATGTCACATATCTTGGAGCAATTCTTCGGCTCCACCCTGCTGGCCTCATTCGAGAGCATATCCGATCCACGTGGCACCTCCACGCTAGAAGGACGGACTGGTCTCTCCGAATGATCACTAGGTCGCTGCCATCCCTCGGGTCTACTTGGTAACCCAAAGGTAGGCATGGGAGCAGCCAAAACAGGGGACGTAGGGTTGGCGGGTCTTTCGAACCCATAGCCGACCTCATTACTCGGCGAGCCTCTCGCCTGTCGCACCACCGATGCCAGATATTCTCGAAGAGTCCGGGTATCAGTCTCCAAAGACAACCCAAGAATCTCTTTGACCACCTCTAACTCCCTGCTAAGTTCCCCTATCTCTATTTGGCCCGAATCAGTACTACCCAGTACCTGAGGTACGGTTCTCGGGGGGTCAGGAAGCTCCACAGTTGTAGTAGCCGGCGGCACATATGTCGGTGCAGCAGCCCCAGCCGTACACAGCCTATCCTCGCTGTACCGACGGGTATTTCGCTGCTTCCAAAACGACGAAAATCTCTGCCGTAATTCCGCAGAAGTCCCAGTGGTCACCAAACCATACTGGTCCATCGTTCTCATGAGCTCCCCTTTCGAGAGGTCATATATCCAACCCACGCGACTGTCCCGGGGCTGCGACCCCAAGGACATAGTCGCTGGCGCGGAATAGGTCAGAGACGTTGTCACCGTCGTACCCACGACCGATGAAATAGTCGGCCAAACAGGCGAAGACGCAGGCCACAATGACGACGTCGTCATCACCGACAGTTCGGAGCTAACCCCAGAACTAGTCGTAACAATAGCAGACGTAATAGGCGTACCGCCCAGCACAGCCGTCGTACTCGTAGTCACAACCATATTTAAAATTCAAATACCACGACTAATCCGCAAAAATAAGAGCGAAACCGATTAAAATCTATTTAACACCGTACTATTAAATCAAACCAATTATAGGTGTGAAAGTCAAACCACAAATACACAATAAGGGTTCTCACTCAAATAATATTCAAGACTAAAGCTCAATTAATTAGCAAAATTATATTTACCAACTAATTAACTATGTATACAACCACTAAATAAATTAGGGTTCACAACACACCACGCTGTAACAGAAAACAGGTTAGGCCTACCCAACCGGCTATAAAATCACAGCAGGTCTGCCTAAAACTCTGCTCAACAGCTCAGGTCCGCAGCCAATCTGCACAAGTCCGCAGCAAATCTGCACAAATAAAATTATTTTGTTCGGGTGCCGTTAATACGTCAGCAACTCAGCACCACTGCCAACCTCAGTCCCTGTTCGCAGGCGCCATCTTGCGACGATGCTTTTCTGCACTGGGAAAAAAAAATATTAAAAGTGCAGTCGTCACCGTTTGCCGGGATAGCTCAGCCTACAATGGCTGGGTAAAATTCCAGGGTCTGCGATAAGGTCAGGGAAACCACTAGGCCAAAAGCCGGGTCTAACCGGTATAGGACTGGCTCATACACGGGCACTGTGAACAAGTCAAAAACAAGTCACCAAAACAAACGTGCAATAATCACTACCAGGCCTACGCCGATTCTCCACACTCCTAGGGGGTCGTTGCTGACTACGCAACTCGGGCTTCGTCCTAACTATCCAATAGTCAAGCCCAGAGTGCCTAAAACACAGTGAGTTACACGACGACTTGCCAATAAAAACCACAACGCGTGTTATCACCAGGCGGGGTCTACTAGGCCACTATAATCCAATACACAACTCTAATGCCCAAGCTAAGAATCAAACAGTTCACTCAATAAAAATACCAGATAACAATACAAGTGCACTATAGGTAGAGTGACTACAACACCAGTAGCTGGTCTCAATAAATACCAAGCCAAACAAGCAAAACTAAATGGCAATGGCACTATTAAAATATTGAGCTACTTAGTAGCAGATAAATAAATATTAAATACTCCAAACACTATAGATAAATATATTATCTGATAGCCGGTACTCCGCTATCCAAGCTACCAAGATAACGTGTTGGACTACCAAACAAGCTGTTCAGGTTAAATTAAAATAATCAAATGAATAAACAATAACAACCCTACTACTGCTACTGCTACTACCAACTTTATGTTACTTAGCTGGGCTTCTGTTAATCGGCTAATAATATTAGCTACTAGCCTACTGGCCACGTGTTTCCAACTACGCACGCTAAATCGTGCAGCTTAGGTTTGTCGGGCCTCAGAGTTATATTAATAATATAACTAACTCTAGGTACAACGCAAAATAATATCTACTACAGTCAATTAAATTATATTATTCGCGCTCTAGCACCTGCCCAGAACCGTCAGGAATATACTTTAATATTATTCCTGACTAATAAATAAATCCTAACTATCGTCAGGCTTTGACTAGCACGGTTACAACTCTAACTCTCGCAATAAAGTGTAAGATTAATATTAACCCAAATCTTAAACCAAAGTGTAAGGAACGTCGTCCACTCACCAACAGTGGGTCTGTACCCAACTTACACCAACACTCGGCTTGATCGCACCACCAACGTACTCCGACACCACTGTCACGTACACTCCTCTCTACGTACACCACACCGACGTATCCCAGTCGTCCACAAGACACCACACTATCCTCACTGTCCGGGATCCACGACTCGAATGTCCTTCTCCTCTACTGTCCTGAAGATCTAGGATATCCCAGGCTTATCGGAACTGATAAGCCGGGTCAAAGGGCGCTCGCTACCTTCGCCTCCGCCGCTTGCTCACCTCAACAATCGGTGCGCGGCCAAATAGCAAAAATATACCCCCCTAGGAAAAATAACTCGTTACAAAAACATTACTATGCTTAGTTTTTCTTTATTTTAGTTTTTTTTTTCAAAGAGCATCCAACCACCTTTATCAATTGTAGAGGTAATCTTCGATTAAATATCAAAATAATAATAAAATCATAAATCCGATCGTATAAGTGCAAAATATGGATTCTATGTTGGGAATAAACTAAAATAAACTCTTTCCGTCCTCATGCCTAGTATCAATTAACTAATTTATTGATCGGTTTAGTAGTATCACTATTGTTTACTAGTTTAATCACAACGAATTTTAAAGTTGATGTTGACTATTCAATACTGTAAAATAAATTTATGTGGCATAAACAAAGTTTAGGTTTTATAGTTATAACATGTGAATTAATTATTTTTGTTATATCTAGAATACAGGAATGTTAACTCAAAGAGTAATAAGCCAGTGTCTCTACTGTGGTTATGGCTTTGCAATTTGGCACTGAGGTGTACATGTGCTTGAATGCCAAAACATCGTGGCTTAAAAATATCATGAAGTTTTTTGCAAAATTCAAACGTCCAAAAAACAGAAAACTGTTCTAAACTCTGTAGTCTTGCAACTTATTATTATTATTCTATTAAACAAAATATGTAACCATTCTACTTTTCCTTTTGTTATACGTGGTAAATTTGGTATTTATTTGGAATACATACCGAATCATCACTTCACCTTAAATTAAGTTGTAATGGGGAGCGAGCTGGCGTATTGGTTAGAGCACGGGACTTGAGTCCCTCAGGTCCCGGGTTCGCTCCCCACCAAGTCACCAATGGATTTTATCTAAGTGATAATGCCGCAACCCTTAGGTCTAGATTGAAGTAATGTGAAAAACAATCCCAGGCTCGTGCCTAGCGTCCTAGGACAAAACAAATTAAGTTGTGACAGCATATCAATATTTGTTTATTACATCATCCATTTTTAAACTTTTGCTTCTATACAGATATAAAAATAATCACATTGCATATATCAGTGGCGAAAAATCAATTAAGATTACAGATACGTTTAAGAGAATAAATTCACGATATTATTTAGTTTTATTTTAAATATAAAATTTTTAAATGCTGCAGTAGATTCAGATAGTATGAACAACAACATAGTGTAACAACAACTGCCATTGTAATACAGGTAGTTGACAGAGAGTCCCCTGGTGGCATTTGTGGTCCACAATATTCCCGCATATCATGGAAGTTGGCCTGCACAGTTGACAACGACACTTTTATAAAGTCACTAGTTCAATGTAAAATTTTATTTATGTTAAGGACAGTATGGTTACGAAAATAACATAGACCTTCCACCGTAATAGTTAAACCATAGATAAAACATACTCCTTTGTGTTGGTTAGTCTATGATTAAACGTTCTGACTTTGATGAGTTAGGATCAAAGTAAACAATATCTGTAAAAAATATATTTTTTTTTTATTTAATAGCAAAGTTGATTTGATTATGTGTGAGCCTATAATGAAAGTAAGTTACTTTTTGTTTACAATCGTTATCAATTCGTTAAATGAAAAAAATGTACAGCTGTACTTATTAATAGGATTAACATTGTATTAGTAATTTTATTTTTCAGTACTGATGCCATTGAAAAATAAATTTATAAAAAAAATTGTTGAATTATCTTACTAAAGCACAGTATCCCTTAATTCAACATGTTATAAGTTTAAATCATCAACGAGAATTTTGGCAGGTGTTATATTCTAACGTACACCTAAAATAGTATCACTCTAATTTAGACACAACGCAAGTAGTATCACTCTACTTTAGAAGTATGTTGGAATATAACACATGCTACAATTTCAATATAGCCCAAGACCTATATATTTGTAAGCAATAATCATTCCACCAGAATATACAATCTTAGGTTTAACCTTTACCTGATTAAGACATTTTTCAATCTTTTTTGTTACAGACAAACGAACCGGACCACGAAACCTACTACCGGCTGTAAGTATTATAAAGGCGTATCCAGCTATTAAAATTTAATTAAATGTTATAACCATACGCAAAACGTATGATAGCAAAAAGCAATGGTCTAAACTCACAACTCTAATTATACATAAGATATATACTAAACATGTAAACACAAACCAATTGCTGTATTCACGTTGATTGATTCATGTTTTGGCCTCTTTAACCTACAATCTATTTTCCCTGCTACTGATTTTCACAAAGTGAAAGACGTCCAAAGCTGTGATTGATCAAGGAGTTTAAGACTGATTGCAACTGCACGGATCTACACATCGTTCTCAGCAATCAGAACTGATTGAATTGTTCATCAGAATCATCACGAGCTACGAGTGATTAGCTTTCCCAATAGGTTATATACAATACGTCATGCATTCACGGAAAATAATTCATGTAGTGATATCAAAAATAAAGTTTTCAGAGTAACAAAATTATGCTCGATTGAAAAGAAATAAACATTATTCAGTTAAAGTCATACAATGTGGTTTGCCGAAAATTCGTAAGTCAATTGCGTTAGGTTTCTTAATGTACATCCCTTTCATCCAAGGATCCTAGGTACTAGCTAGGAATTGCTCTACACATTACTCCAGGCTTGTCCTAGAGGCTCGCAGATTTTTCACAGAGATAACATGCCCGATGTAAAACAGGGTTCACAGTTATTTTTACAAGAGAGTTAAAAAAAACACACACTTATTTAGTCAAGCTCTACAAATTCACAAAAGAGTTTTGGTGTCCATCCTGTCAAATAATGCCTATGATCTTTCACCTATTGTTTGAAAGAGCTTCAACGTTAGGACCATTTAGTTCAACATGTTATAATAAAGTTAGGTCTGCGTAGGCATTTCCTAGTGTAAAATGGCGTTTCTTACGTAATAAACCGTTCAAATTTACAAAATATTTAAACCTGTTGTTGACTAGTTAGGTATTTAAGTATATAACTAAAAAAAATAATTGTTAAACTGAAACGTTTTGAATTAGTTTTTTTTTTCATAAATAAAAGTTATTGATTTTTTCAACAAACCGTTATTACCATAAGTAGTTCAATTAGCAGGTATAGCACGATTATATTAAACATTAATGCAAAAAATCTTTATGCGTAAAACATGAAAATATTTTTACACAACGGCACTACATTTTATAGCGTAGTTTAAAGAGCGTCACACCGTTATCTATTAACTGTTGAATGTTGGAGTACCAACTGCAAACATCAGTCTGTTAGTTTTACGGTTGGTTGTGGTTAGCCATATGATTCACCAGTGAGCCTAGAACCAATTTTTTTTGGTTCTGCGTGTTTTTTCCCCCTAGTTACTGTATAATCTCGTAAAATAAATTTAATTCTTACAAAGCATATCTAACAACATCTTAATATTTTCTTCTTTGGTTGTAACTATATTTTGAATACTCTCTTAAGAAGGGAAGAGAATTTGTTTTAATCAAACCAATACGTTTTAAAATATAAGATGATAATTTTATTTTTTTAAGAGTAATCTCAGAAAACTTATCTTAAAACACCTTTCATGCAAATCTGTGATTTTGTTTCAGAATGGGTCCTATAGCATTTTTCAAATCCTGGCTTGTTAAATTTCTGTTAAAACACTTAACCGCACGTATAGTTAGTTATTACATGTCAATATGAAGGAAAGTTCTTTACAAATATATATACGTAGACCTCTACTCCTAAATAGGAGTAGAAGATCACGTAGAAACAGTTGTCTGACAAAACTTTGAACAAAGTCGATCATAGTTATAGTCGACTTCAACATATCGTCAACACAAGTATTTCTTTTATAACCACTTTTTAAACGAGTTTATAAACTCCTACGCCTGTAGATAATATTTCTAAATGGATTTTTTACGTTGACAAATATTTTAACATCGCAATACCATTATACTGGAGAAATTATATTTATATTTCATACGATTTAAATATAGCTTCAGCTTGATTTTGTTTGCTATCACTAAATAAACAAATAAAACTTTTATATAGGATGAATTACATATTAATGAGGGAATAATATTTACTTGTAAACACCTTATAACAATTTTAATTGTTAACTATGGCTAAAGTTCATGCAGTATATTGAACAATCGCCAATCTTGTGTCCAACCACTAATTCTTTATAATTTTTTAAAGGCTGTTGTGTATTTTGGGCTAAATACAAATACATCTTAAGGTATACAATTATATACGTGACCTTATTGACCTTATTGACTTTATATATCAAGGCTAGTTATATCTTTAGTTAAAATCATATTTCAAAGATTCTTAGTTTCAGGCTGCTGGGCAAAGTATGATATAATACCAAGCAAAAGGTTGGGTTTATTTACACAATTATTTATAAAATATAAACATAAATTGTTATATTTATATTTAATAAATAATTGTGTAAATAAACCCCAAATTGTGTTGATAAAACATATCAAGCCAACTACGAGCAATGTTCACATGCTCAAAAAAGGATGTTCTGCAATATAAAGAATACGGTATTAATCTTTTTTTTACCTTGTATAAGCATTTATTTTAAATCTAATATCATTACGATACAGGTTTGTGGACCTGTAGAGTACAGTACAGTTTTAATAATGCACAATCAATAAAATAAATACCGACAGTTACACGAAGTGAGAAATCCAGTAAACGCTATATAGCTTGTCAAAGTCAACGCCTTTCTAGTTTTATGAGTTAACTCAATAACTCAGTTTCAGCACGTTGCACACTTGCACTTAAATCGTAACTCAGAAGAAACACAAGCTTAACTTATTTACCAAAGTGTAGGCCTAAATGTCAAATACTAATGCCGTATCTAAAAAATTGTATTGTTTGTTGTTTTTGTTCCCCCGTGTTATTTGTCGCTAATAACCTCATAACTGTATAGCTTAGACGTTAATCATTATAGTTTAGCAGAGTACAAATATCATTTATTATTTTTTCTCTTTATTGGTTTAAGCTACCATAAACAAAAGGAATTAAACAGAGCCTAAGACATAGTAAATGCTTTAAACCATGGAACACGATGGTGTTTGTATGAATACATTCAAACAGTCCATGTATTTGTTAATGTAATAATAATGATTAAATGGAATTTATGACCCTTCAAACAGCAAGTTTCATGGGAATTAAATACGTAGCTTATTGCATGTGTGTAATGTGTAACGCATGTGGTTATGCATGTGTTGGAAGCATATAAACGCAAGCTCAGAGACGGCTCTAGGGAAATCATAGAGAGTCTTCGTCAACGGTGCGTATCTATTGTTAGGCCGGGCGCGCACTATCCCGACCACGACCACGACCACGACCAAACGCCCGACCAGTGGTTGTAATTCGCCATGCGACCAGAGCACGACCCGACCACGACCCGACCAAGGCAACGAATGTTTTACAAACTTTAGTGCCAAGATGTTTGTTGAAGAAGTAGTTGTTATGGTGCATTTGTATTGTATGTACGTTAAGCGGAAGAAGACACTATACTGGGTATATCCAATGTTAACTGTTAGGTCTGAAAGGGCATTTTGCAACATTTTATGAAGAGCTACGTCAATATGAAGACAGGTTTCAAAAGTGTCAAAATCCTGCGACATTTTACCAAATGAGTCACTTCACAGACCGGCGCAAAAAAACTAGTGCTCACCGTTTGATTAGTCTAGGAATACTGGGGGTTGAGTGGTGTACTGATCGGTTCGGAGGCAAGTTGGAGGTAGTGCGCGTCGTCCCATTAAATTGTGTGCTATTTTTGGCTGCAACGACCAGCGGGTCGGGCCCGACCAAACTGGAAAATTTTGGTCGTGCGACCAGGGCCCGACCAGGGTCCGACCAGTCGACCAGTGCGCGCTGTTCCATTTATTCCTATTATATAACTGGTCGTATCCGACCAGTCGGAGTCGTGGTCGTGGTCGTGGTCGAGATAGTGCGCGCCGGCCCTTAGAGGAAAGCCTTTCATGCCACTAATGTGTATTACAGTTCCTACACTTCACCTAACGTACACAACGTATTTGACTTAAATTGTAAACAACATGTTTAATTGTAAATTATACATGTTAAAAATAACTCTATTATAAAGAATGTCTGTTGGCTTGCTTGTCTTTAATAAATATCGACTAATCACTTTCTTTTATAGATATTTTAACATTTTAATTCCTGACTTCATGGGTAAAATATTTTTGCTTATTAGAATCACATTTCAGAGAGATATTTTATTGCATTCGAAATACTGAATTCTCAACATATGCGGGCGAGTTAATCAGAAATAAATATTACAAAAGCATAAACATTTTTTTCACTTTAAGGTTGCGATCATTTACTATGAACTTTTATGGCAAGTTAAAAAAAATTTGTGACTTTCCTATATAAACACTCTCTCTACCAAATTGAGCATAGCTGCGGGCAACCTTTCAGAGGATTTTTGTCTCCTAAAAAGTATATTTTCTCCTCGTGATTCTGCAAATTCCTTGATGACAAAATATTTGTTTGCATAGTTACTTTTAGAAAATATTCTTGTTGTTACTATTTTTAATTAAACTGTATAACGGTAAACACATTTAATTTTGATTCTGGTATACATTATGCATATTTCTATTGATATAGGAGGTTTATGCTACAGTAAATTTAGTTTATATGCCATTTGTCAATTTCAAAACTATATTTAAGCGGATTAAGTTTTAAAACTTTACAAGTAACTTCAATTCACTGTTGTTGTGATGTCATTATGATATTAATGTTAATATCTACTAACGACAAAATTTAATCCATTTATTTGCTCGGGGATAAATTGAATTATTAGCCTACTCATTTTATTCTATGATATAGCATACGCAGCGTTTAAAACCTCACTATACATTAATAATAATAATATTAGTTGAGTCTCTTTTTTATAAATGTTAATATTGTGTCAAGTATAACTATAACGAGTGTCTTTTGTTCATATTTAATTAAGAATTAACTGTTTGAAAAGAAGGATGCCTTCACCTGAATAGTTATATAT